ATATCCAACACGATTCAGTGAAGAGTACAGCAACACTTTGCGGCCAAAATTGACGGAGCAATCTGTTCCGAAAAAGCCCGTTATGATACCCTAACCCTTTAAGGGCGACAACATCTCCAATAACATTAAGCGGCGATTGAGATGCGCTATTGAAAGAACTTACAACTCAGCTGAGCTCATCTTCCGCAGTCCTACCAAGGCTATCGAAGTTCCACGGGTGAAGGACGCCTTGCCATTGCACGCCACGTCAAACTGTGTTTACGAATTTACATGCACTTGTGGATGCAAGTACATTGGGCGAACGCAAAGGCAACTGGCAGCCAGAGCAGTTGAGCACCTGCCTAAATGGATTCTAAAGCAGGAGAGTAAGATTCCACGGTCTTCTATTACAAAACATCTCCTTGATAGTGGCCATACGGTTGACCCCAAAACGTCTTTTCGAGCATTAGTTCGAGCACGAACTACTCGGTTATTGCGCTACCTGGAGGCAGTCTACATACAGCGAGAGAAACCCGACCTATGTAAACAATTAGACCACGCGGTCAACCTCAACTTGCCCTGGTAGACCTGAGCCCGTTTGATCTTCGAAATCCCTCAGCATGTTTACTTCCCCGTTTTCATTCCTCTGTTGCATTTTTAAGTTATCATTTTATTGATTAGCTCAACCACCAACAGTCCACAGTCCCTGGTGGGATATCACCTAAATATACACGCCACAGTATGGCAAACGTGTGCAGAGATACGGGCGAAGGCTTTTTTGACCTTCGTGTGGATTGAGAGTATGAGACCTACATGGATTACATGATACACCATACGTGACAGCACAGGTTCTAGCCAAAAACGCAGACACGTGTTTCGCCAATATTCTATATCTGCATGGCACAGCTGCGAGGGTCTCGGGTCTCAGCGTGTCCCCAGCGTTCCTCCTATTCTTTCTGGTAGATGCTCCTGTTTTTAGATTTTGGCCCAAACATTCATACTAACTTTCGGCCTTAATCTATAGAGTTTAATTCTGACTTATTTGCACCGAATTAAGGATTGATTTCTGAAGGAATTAAAAGAGCGCAATATGAGATCTCATATTGGCCTTGCCAACAGTATACACTCTGTTGGTTGTGGTCGGTTAGCATCCTGTTTACGATAGTGTATGTTCTCGGTCATACCCGACAGGACAACGGGTTCGTGGTTCGATGATAGAACGCTGAGTTACTTAACACTCCGTGACCAAAGAATGCGAGTTCAAAATCCAGGTCGCCCAAAGCCGGCGGAGATTATGGCTTACGCCTAATCAGCCAGAAATGGTATCCCCGTTTCTTTTACTTTTGTCAGTCCAGTCGCTATGAGGCTGCCTGCAAGGGCTCCTGAATGAGCGACCCGAATGACACAAGCATAACCTGACTGTGTGATTGAATGACGAATTATCGCCAGTGGCGACGCACACCACCGAAACGGTTTACTAGTTCAACTTCGCAATCTCCGCGATAATTGCGCATACCGGAGGCATGACCAGTCGAGAATTCTAGGCGTCAGATTAGAATTCTGTCAGTCGATGACTAGATACGGCATCGCCATACGGAGCCTTTTGCAATCGCTGATTCTTGATTGGCTAATACGCCTTTAATTGTAGCTTCTTGTATTGCTGCTGTCCTTTCAGGGGTGGGTTCCTGCAAGAGTTCGCAAATTAAGAAAGGTGAAAAAAATGATTCCGGTGCTCAACCAGTCTCCTGTTTTCTAGCTCAAGTGTGTTGCATGTAACTGAGGGACAAAATTTACACCTTTACAGTAATTTTCCTGGAAGTTAGAAATTAGATTTTGAAATGACCGCCTCCAGCAATCTCCCATGCCAATTTATGTATGCTTTAAAACCAGTTTTTGGAGTTATCGCTTAAGTTGATAGAAAATGACGGTTAAACGTAGAGAATATTATCATGAGATGAGATTCAGATTTCCAATTTTAACTTATTTTCCACAGGGAAAAATATGCTGAGTTTTCGCCTCGTAGACATTCTCAGACATGTGCTTTGCGAATGAGATTCACCCGACGACTTTTTAACGTACAAGGTCATCATGCTCCCGACACTGCTGTATGAAGCGGAGACTTGGGCCGTGTACACGAAGCAGACAGGCCGATTCAACCAATTCCACCTCAGCTGTCTTCGTCACATACTGAAACTGAGGTGGCTGACCTAACTCCCGGACACTGATGTACTGCAACGGACGGGAATCCTCAGCATCTACAACATGCTGAGACAACTACAATTGCGTTGGAACGGCTATCTTGTGCAGATGGACAGCGAGCGGCTACTAAACGTCTCTTCACGGAGACGTCGCAACGAATTCTTGACGTCAAGGTGGCCAAATTTGTTGAATCCAGGATACTCTGAAGTCCCCCCTGAAACGCCTGCAAATTTATCCGACCAATTGCGAAGACCTCGTCCACGATCGACCGACATGGAGGAGCCACTCATCTCACCACTGATGCAATTGGTCCAAGCTATTTTGCAAGTTCAGCGCACCCTCTCGCTTTTCTATTCTCGCTTTTTCCAAATCTTCAGATCACCCCCTGGTCCACACAACAAATAACCAGGAATTCAACCAACACAAGAGAGATTTGGAGGCTGGCACAGCCGAAGCCGCACCTGGGCGCGCCGCCAACGCCTGGCTCGGATCCCACACAGTGGTAGTGCTATAAAGGCCACATTAAGAAGGAGCCCTTGCAGCCTGACTCTCAGACCACCACCAGTCAAGGAGGAGGTCCAAGTTATCCCCTCAGTTGGCAACCTTCCAAACCACGGCTTTTAGCGCACCGTGATAGCTCAAGCGCGTCAGATTGCTTATAGTGAGGAGGAAGTGCGCTGAGTCGTCGACCTCACTCTCCCTCCCCATTCCCACACCCCATCTCCTGTCCGAGCCGGTCAGCAGACTGGAGTGGGAAATGGGCGTGGTGGCTGGCATGCTCGACTGACCAAGACTGCGCGTGCCACGTGCACGACCTGGCCCCCCATACGCACAAACCAGGATTTCACACAACGGGGGTTGAACGGCGTGTCTCCCACTTGCGTGAGAGGGCCGTGGTAGGTGTTGTTTCAGCCCGTCCTCAGCCACCCAGTCCTCCACTCCACACAAAACACACATGCACACAACGGGACGAACTGCGTGGACCGAGTGGGGACATCAATCAGCAACCTTCATATCCACGACGCTTGACGTGTCGAGATAGTCTCAGACTCAAGTAGCCCGTGCAGCCGAGGGGACCGAGTCGAGATGCACACTTCCCACTTGCGTGGAAGGTGGCAGTTGGGTGCATGTGATGGATGAGTTTTTATGTGTGGTGGGTGGTGGTGGTGGTGGAGGAGGAGGAGGAGGAGGAGGAGGAGGAGAAGGAGGAGGAGGAGGAGGCAGGGAGGGAAGATGTTGTGGTGTGATGTAGACGGCGGTTGTCTACGACAGGTCATCGTGGATGCGCATGCGGCCGAATAGGCCCATGCGATGCGGGAAAGTGCGAGGGCAGTGCGGGCAGTGGAGGCGAGCTTGGTGGGTATAGGTTGGTGCTCCAGGCACTGGTTCGCCAGTCTCCGTGCGATGAATTCGCATGTGACCGATCAGGGCGATGCGAGAGAAGAATGTGCGTTGAACAGTGTGCGTAGGTGAAGTCGGTGGTGTCGGGGTCAGTTGCGAAAACGATGATGGGCGCAAAGGGTGATGAAGTGGTGATGG